CTCCACTGTGGCTCATGCCCACCCTCCCTGCTATCCTAAACTAAAACTCTTCCAGCCCTGTCCTGCTATTCATGACAGACCATCCATTTCCCAATTCGGTGGTCCCAGAATTCTTTCCAATCACTCCCGCACCTATTCCCCCACTCCTCCTCCTGGTGCTGATTCCCAGCGCTGTGGTCCCAGAACTCCTTCCTGTGACTCCTTTCGCTATTCCTCTTCTTCTAGCTCTGATTCCCTATGTTGTCCCAGAGCTCTTTCCCATTACTCACCTGTCTATTCCCCCACTCCTCCTCCTAGCCCTGCTTCCCAGTGCCGTGGTCCCAGAGCTCCTTCCTGTAACTCCTTTGTCTATTCCCCCACTCCTCCTCCTAGCCCTGYTTCCCAGTGCCGTGGTCCCAGAGCTCCTTCCTGTGACTATCCCCCTACAACTCCCTCCTAGCCTTKCTTCTTTCTAGTCCCCAGCCCCGACCCCTGCCACCCCCAACCGGACCTGAGAGTCCACAAATCTCATCTTGGAGATGGTTTTCCTGTGCCTGGGGCAGTGCCGGTGCAGTTCAGGATGGCCAAGACCGCGGGTTCCCAGCAGCCTGACCCAGTGGACAAGGGAAATGCAAGGTGATGGCAAACCGGCATTTAGCCTGAGTAAGTCACAGGAGCCCTTTCCACAGCAGAGCCTGGTCACCTTACTGCTATCTGTATTTTGCCTTCATTCCCATCTTCTCAATCCTCTTCAGAGACCAGAGACACCTTTAACAATTTTCTTTCTCTAAATAGTATGGGCCTTTCCTCCCCTGCCTGATCAGCCAGCCTGCCTGAGCTTCTACATGTGTCCTGGGCTTCTCCATGGAAGTCGGTCTGTAGCTGCAGAGCAAACCACAGTGCCGGTGACAGAGAAGGTAGAGGGAAGTGAGGAGTGGGAAGCACCTCATCTGTTCTCTAGGATGGCAAGTCCTGCCCTGGGTTAAGGTGAGTGTAAGAACCATGACCCCTGACAGCTCACAGGGCACAAGGCCCTGCTATAGATAGATGGAGACTCAGTTTTGCTTTTGTTCATGTTTTTTGGGTCTTGTTTATTCCAGAATTCATTTGTATTCACCCTAGGATTCCAGAACCATGGCAGGGACTTTCTGTCCTTGGGAAGTGTTTCCTGCAGTAGGGGCAGGGGCCTCCAATGTGCTCTCACCACAGCGCTGAGGCCTGAGCATCTCTCATCAGCTACTTCTACCTCACAACGGGGAGGAGAGCAGAGTCTGGAAGGCAAGAGCATGTCCAGATCCCACCCAGATGCCTGTAGCACATGAGCCGATGATGCTTACAAAAGGGCTCTCCTCTGATGGTTATCTAGATTCAACAGAATCTCAATTCACAATCCCACCGTATTTTTGAGAACTTGACAGTTAAAATTTCCATGGAAATGCAAAAAACCAAGGTTAGCCAACGCTCTCCTAAGACATTCTTCCCACCAGATATCAGAACTCATCAGGAAAATTATAGTAATTAAGATAGTGTCGGAGTGGGGAAAGCATAGGCAAGTAGACAAATGACACAGAATAGAGAGCAGGAGACTCCCACATGCGCGGGCGCTTTAAGAGCACAGCAGCAGAGCAGAACAGTGGGGACAGGACTGTCTTTTCAATAAATTGGTGCTGGGTCAATTGGATACTCACTTGGAAAAAACAAGCTGGATTCCGACCTCACACTACACTCAAAAATCAATGTCAGGGGGAGCACGGCTCTAAATGTGGAAGGGCAAAAGCAATAACTATTCCACAATTGCTCTGCCCATTCATGGTTACTGAACACTTGAGGTGTGCTATTAAGTGTAGAACTTGCACTGGAATTTTAAACAGTAGGAAAAACAATGTCAAGTGTTTCCATTTTTATATTGAAACTTTGAAATGACACTTTGGATATACTGAGCTAAATAAAATATTAAAATTAGCTTTATCCGATTCCTTTTTCTCCCTTGATGTGGATACTAGGTGATATTGAGTCTACATAGACAATATTTAGTCTAGATAGACAATACGTGTCTCACTTCATATTTTTATTGGATGACACTGATCTACAAGATAACAGAAAAATATCTTCAGGACATCAAATTAGGAAAAGATGCCATAAGTGGCACTGAAGAAGCAGTAACCATAAAGGGAAAGACTAATATATCTGACCACATTTAAAGTTTCAGTGTCAAAAAGACAGCATTAAGAGACTAAAACGGCAAGCCACACAGAAAATATATTTGCAGCACAGACGATTCTCACTAAAGAACTTCAACAAACTGATAAACAACCAATCCAATAAAAAAAATTCCACACTGTCTCCCAGACACTCAAACGCACCCCGCGGCACATGGTGTCCAGAATGAATGAATGAACATATGGTGGAGAAGAGCACAGGCTTTAAAGTTGGTGTTTAGGCTCACTAAACTTGGGGTGGCCAGTTCCTCCATCCTGGGCATACTTTTGGATCTTTTAATGTAAATGATATTATATGAAGTATCTGGAGTCATTCACAGAAACAAAAGGCAAGATGTGGGCTGCCAGGGGCTGGAGGGACAGGGAGATGCAGAGTTGTTTCATGTGCGTGAAGACGTTCTGGAGACAGGTTTCATGCAATGTGTATATACTTGACTGTATTGTGTACTTAAAAATGCCTGAGATGGTAAATTTTATATTACGAGTATTTTACAACAATAAAATATTTTTTAAAAAACCTCTAAAGTCACCATTTACTTAGAATGGGAAAAAGCCATTCCATCTATGTTATCACATTGGTGATACTGCCACACTGGCCAAAATGTTCTCTCACATAGAAAACCTCGTTTCCTGAGACAGATACAAAGTTTGGATTCTGGACATCTGCTTTTAAGTGGGAGAGGTTTCTGACTCCTTACAAACTTTCTTTTAGGGAATGACTGGCCAAGATAAGATCCAGTCATATGTCCATTGCCTCCTGGGTCGGCCACTTGGTGGTGAGTCCTTTCCAGGCCCTGTGCAGGGGCAGTGACCACGCAGGTGCTGAGAAGCCTGGGCAGGTGAGTTGAGCACTGGAAGGGAGTGGGGTGTGAAATAAGGTCCTGAGAATTGGGAGTGGGGAGGGGTGGATAGTGGGTGGGGTGTGAAATAAGGTCCTGAGAAGTGGGAGTGGGGAGGGTTGGATAGTGGGTGGGGTGTGAACTAAGATCCTGAGAAGTGGGAGTGGGGAGGGGTGGATGGACAATAAGAATAAGATCTACTCCAGCAGGGTGGTACCACAGGGACGCTTGCCTAGAGAACGCATAGGATGCTGTTGCCTGGAGTTGGCAGAAGGTGCGGAGCAGGCGGGCAGCAAGGGG